AAGTTAAAACCCGAGACTAAGAGGCACCTCCTTGCAATATCACAGCAACAATTGCAAAATCTTGTATGTGTGTTTGGCAGACAGGCAGACAATATAGAGACTGTGATTAATTTAAAAGCCATGAGTTCCACAGCAACATCTCTACATCATGAAATATGTAAGGGTGCTTCTGCAATGGCATGTCCTTAAGCCCTGAGTATGACTCCCCTAGATATAAGGTTAGTTGGGTGGCAGTGTCCTATATCTAGAGATCTGAGGACTAAAGCTATGGCCTGGAATCACAGGACAAGAATCTTAGACCAGGGAACTCTATATCCTGCTTGTGGGCTTCCCAGAGGCATCTGGTTGAGTACTACAGAGAATGCAGTGGTGGACAAGCAAAGCAGGACAATTTGTATCCAGCAGGACAATTTGTAATTTCATTCGGAAGGAAAGACTGAAACATCCTGCTGTCAACTTGCAATACACAGTCCATTGCAGCAAAATTAGAACACATTTTCTGGCACTTTAAAGACTTTATTATTTCTGAAATTTTATTGTATCAGAAGAGGTGTAATGTAGTCTATGAAGGTAAAGGTAAAGGTTCCCCTTGGTTATTATATCTGAAATTTTATTGTATCAGAAGAAGTGTAATGTATTCCGTGAAGGTAAAGGTAAGTTGTATCCGACTCTAGGGGGCGGTGCTCATCCCCATTTCCAAGCCATATATCCAGCGTTTATCCAAAAACAGTTTCCGTGGTCATGTGGCCAGCGCGGCTAGACACAGAATGCTGTTACCTTCCCACCGAGGTGGTACCTATTTATCTACTCACATTTGCATGCTTTCAAACTGCTAGGTTGGCAGGAGCTGAGACAAGCGACGGGAGCTCACTCCGTTGCGTGGATTTGATCTTACGACTGCTGGTCTTCCGACCTTGCAGCACAGAGGGTTCTACAGTTAATCCCACAGCGCCACCACATCCCCTACTCCACGAAAGCTTAGTTCAAATAAAAATTGTTAGTCTTTAAGGAGCCACAGAAGTCTTTATTGTTTTTTCCGCAACAGACTAACACAACTGTACTTCTGGAAATGTAGGCATGCTGTATGAATGAATACGTGGTTTTCTTTAACATTTAGCTTGGCTTTCAGTGCTCTAGGATTATCAGAGAATAAGATTTGTAACTATATTTTGACCCTTTGGAGATACTATGTATGAACATGAATAGTGGCTACTTCTGTTTTATTTGGTAGTCCTGGCAACATTGATGCTTGTCTGGAAATATACTGACTTGTCATTTTGCACCTTTCTTATAACATTATGAACCATGAAATAGCTGTTGTCACTGGTGTCATTCTTCCTGCAGCATCTTGAACATGCTAAGTAAAATACTTAGACTGAATCAATTATGGCTTTTCACTAGTAGAGATCACTTCACTTTCTGTAATACAGAGCAACCAGATTTCACCAATCTTCCCTGGATTGCTCAAAGCCTGGCCTTCAGTGTTGGATGATCCTTTAGAAGAGTGTGGGATAAGACACATAAAACTAAGATCAGAGCTGGATTTGACAAAAATGAAATGTCCAATCTTGTATAAACACAATGACTGGCGCTTACTGGTGGTAGCACACCACTGAAATACAAGTTAATGGCTGAAATCTGCTTCTGTAATGGGGATGATATCATCGTAATTGCAATTGCTGTTGATTAAAGGTGATTTCAGGTTGCACATCAGTCTTACATAAAGTCTCATGCACCTCAAAATTGCCAAAGGAAGACTTTAATCAGTGCCAGTTTGCCACTGCTGTTGATACCATTGCCTTTGCACATGCAGAGCTGTGCCTCTGGATTTCAACAGTCGCAATACAGCTCCTTATCCTTTAATACCAAGGTTTCGACTAGAACACAAACCCACTGTTTTTCATCTATTATGTATATCTACAACCACGTTACTGTGAAAGGCTGATAGTGGAGGACACCAATTTGGGTAGGCCACCAAGTGCTTAGCAGTTCCTACCATCTCCACTAGCTATCCACACCAAGCCTCACATCCTTTTCCAGAGAGGCTTTGGATAGGTGCCTGTAATTGGATAGATGCCTGTAACTTTGGATAGATGCCTGTCACTGCAATAGAGGGCAACGAATAGAAAACATTTATGTTGCGAACTTCCTTAAGCTTTAATATCTTAAGAAAGCCAATCTTTATTTCTTTCTCTAAGAAACACAGTTAGTACATATCTTCCATTATATACTGGAGATGATTTGGGCTATTTGTTTTCCATTCATCACTTCTGCATGCTTTTGTGTGTCAGAAATAGTAAAGATAAGAAACAAAAGTAGTGTGATGATGGCAGTTTGCAGCATCAAAGTGCCCACAGTTCAGTGTAAAACATTAATGTTTCTAAAACATGTAGTTTTATTTTTATGTCTGGTGTGAATACAGAGCAAGAGGGTAGAGCGGGGTAGGTGGGCAACACATAGCCTAATTACTACATATGGCCTGCAGCATTCCAAATTTAGCCTCGAGCACCACTGCCATGAATTTTCTGCCTTTTTTCTTCCCTCCTCTAAGATTTTTCTGGGAAGCAAGGTGTTCCCAGTTTCTTGTTGTGAAATCTGAAGCATCATTCCTTAAACACTAGGCAGGATTGGTACCATAAATCTTCCTGTAGAAGGTGTTAGTTTGACAGTCCCCTTTCTCTGCATGTTTTCACACCTCCATCATGAAAGCAAGAAACGGGGAATCTTTTCTGTTGTAGTTTCCACAATTGGTGCAAAATATTTCTGCACAGCAATAGTGTATTTTCTCTCATGTGAAGTGTCTAGAGCTCCTTATTTTTAAAACATGCACTGATGACTGGCAGGTATCATAATTTCCTGAAATTTGCATAACTTGCACAGTTTGTACAAAAATCATTCTCGCAACTGCTTGAGACTAGCAGAAAATGCCTCATCTTCTCACAGTGAAGGAGAACAAATTTGTAATAACTTGTTCTTTGCATCCCCACACCCAGCTAAATGACTGGCAAGTGAATGTGTGAATAGGCTCATTAACACCCAGTTATGAATGGCTGGCAAGTGAATGTGTGAATAGGCTCATTTGAAAGAACTGTGTTTGAAGGGCTTTTTGGTCCAACCATGGTGGTAATTGCTGGCAGTCTGTTCAGTGATCCTGTAGTCATGAAGTGATGAAAAGGTTTAGAATTTCACCTACTGTACTGTTTAGATGTAGGGATGGGGAATCTGGTCCCTGAGATCAAATCTAGATCTCATAGCATCCCATCTGACTTTCTGGGATGACCCAAATTGCAACACCCCTTTCCCCTTGATACCATTTCAAAGTGTCCCAGCTTTTCTTCTCCAGGAAGGTCAAAATGCCTCTCTTAAGGCCTACTCATTGGCAAGAAATCTTTAAGCCAAAATATGCTGGAGATGGAGGTATTAGACTCATCCACCACTGGAATGCACCTGAGAACTTGTCTGAAATTGGATTTGGCACCCATCCTAGAAGAGGGTCATCACCTTTGCTTTAGTACAATCAAGTTCTAGATTTCTCTTGATTGACCGTCATTGTTCTTGGTGTTATTTGCCCATATGTTAACTTTGCCAAGTTGAGGGACGTGGTGGCGCTGCGGGCTAAACTGCAGAAGCCTGTGCTGCAGGGTCAGAAGACCAGCAGTCGTAAGATCGAGTCCACACAACGGAGTGAGCTCCCGTCGCTTTGTCCCAGGTCCTCGCCAACCTAGCAGTTCGAAAGCATGTAAAAGTGAGTAGATAAATAGGCACCATCTCAGTGGGAAGGTAAAACGGCGTTCCCTAGTCATGCTGGCCACATGACAATGGAAACTGTCTTTGGACAAGCGCTGGCTCTACGGCTTGAAAAAACGGGATGAGCACTGCCCCCTAGAGTCGGACACGACTGGACTAAAAATGTCAAGGGGAACCTTTACCTTTACCTAACTTTGCCAAATGGAGAAGAAATAACCTGTGTGATTTTTAAAAAAAATCAAAGTGGATTCACCAACATCATCTCGATATGGCTTCTGAGCTGATGATGTCACATAGATCTGTAGGTCACTACAACTGAATTAAGTTTACAGGCAAGCCAATAAGCCTAAAGATAGTTGGGAAGGGTGCCAGTGAAGAGAGAAGGAAAGCTATGCTGAGAAGTAGTAACAGCTTCACAAAGAAAATGACACCAAACTGTATTGAAGCAATGTATCTTCTTGCCAAAGTTTTTTTTTAATGGCTTTATGTCCTGCTTCTAAAGCAATTGTTAAAATTAGAGATACTTGCCTGGATAGAAGTTGTTTACAGTATGAAGCTCAACCAATTTCTTTCACCAGCTGCATCAGCACCTTGGTGGAAAAAATTCAATGAGTTGCTGCTGCCCGTTTCTCATTTTTAAACAGTGTAGCAGAGTATAATAGTGAAAACAATGTTTTGTGATCTGCCAGACTGACAATACTTGTTCCTCTGCAACCATGAGCACTGTTGTTTCTTTTTAAAAAAATAAATAAAATAAAAATTGTGAGAGGCACAATGCTGCATTTTCTGTGACAAAAAGATAACAGGAACAGAGAACAAAACAAAAACCTTGAACAGTAGAATGAAATTAAAGTAACAGAAAATCCAGAAATATAGACTTGAACACTAGAAGTGTTCTTCCATACACTACATGTTTTTCTACAGCTTACTGTAAGAGAAGGGGAAATGCCACTACTGTTTTCATAGATGAATCATATATTTTTTCTTTGTACCTTTCCCAAGTATCATAAAGGTCTGGGGGCAATCTCTCTACCAATCTGGTGTTAAAAAAATACTTAATAGTTAACTACTTGTATAAGCCACTATCTGTTACTGGATTTCTGAAACATGGGCAGGTACAAATCTCTGCTGGGTAATGTGATGTTTAAAAATGTTTGATGCCTTTGAATGTGTTACTCTGGGTATAAAGAAGTGCTATGTATCATTACTGCAGGAATTGTCTCATTCACAAAGAGCATCATTTTATTTTACAGAATCCTCCAATGCAACTTTATTGACCAATGCAGAAAAAATTGCAACAATTACAACCACACATACTCCCCAGCAAATGCCACAGGAGACCAGGTCAGCTTTTTATTCTGTTGTGAAAGCATGTTGTTATGCTGTCTCTCCAACATGTACTATATACAGTAAATAGTACTTCCTGCAAAACTAATACATCTCCTTTTTTTATTCCTCTCCCCTCCCCTACCATCCCTTATTCATTTTAGCAGAAATAACACAAAACCAAAGCAAGATTCCCAGTTTGATTTCAAACCACCGACAACTTCACAGGTAAATGAACCCTTTTCAGATTTGCTTCATTTATGCTGCCCACGGCTTTAATCCAGTGGTTCCAACTTGCATGCATTGAACAAATGTGTATGGTAGGGACTCCCTTAATCCCCTTGGTTTAAGAAATGGAGAATCACTGATAGAAAGACACTGATGATGTTCCAACTTGAAGGGCAGTTTGTAACAGGCAAACCTGCATCAATCGGTTGCCATTCAAAGGAGTCTAGAGATGATGGGAAAAGGGAGGCTGGGGAGGGCAAGAGTTTCTCTAAAGCCAGAACGGCCACAAGGCTTAGGCAAGGCCAGCCTGAGGATCTGAAGCCACTTTGATCCACAGCAATGAGGCTGAAAGGGCTCAGGGCAGCCCCAGGCATCGGCAGCCCCTCTATGGGACGGCCGGCCAGCTCCTGGGCACCGATTTGCACCCCTTGGTTCCCACCTCTCGTGGAAAGCAAAAAAAAAAACACCCTCCGGGCATGTCGCCAGGGGGACCCAGTGCGGCAGGGCAGCCGAGCCAGCCGGAAAATCTGGCTCCCAAGCAGGTTTCTTCAGATCCTGAGGGAGGGGGTGGGGGGTGTCCCAGCTCAGCTGGAGGACACACAATATATAAGATTAGAAACAAGCATAAATTATTGTATTGTTCATATTAATAGTCACCTCCCACCACCCACAAAAATGTAATAGGATGGCAATGTAATAATCTGAAGATTATGAGAAGTTGGTTCAAATTTATTCTTATTACTTCCCCATAGACGGACCAGGATTTTTACACTGTTGAACTTGAAAGAGGAGCCAAAGGTTTTGGCTTTAGTCTACGAGGTGGCCGAGAATATAATATGGATCTCTATGTTTTGCGGTTAGCAGAGGATGGTCCTGCTGAGAGATGTGGAAAAATGAGGGTATGTCTGTAAAAGGAGACTGTTTCCTATGATCTACCTCTTCCATTAGCAATGAGCAAAGTATTTCAAAGGATTAATCCCAGCCCTCCATTGCCTGCTTCTTCTCTTGGTGTGTTTGAGGGGGAGGAGAATAATTGTTTTAGTCTGAAGGATCTGCTCAAACTAGCATTTCCTGCCCAACATTCTCTACAAGTCTACATTCTCTACACTTAATGCAGTGGTCCCCAACCTTGGGCCTCCAGATGTTCTTGGACTACAACTCCCAGAAGCCTTCACCACCACCTCTGCTGGCCAGGATTTCTGGGAGTTGAAGTCCAAGAACATCTGGAGGCCCAAGGTTGCGGACCACTGATCTTAATGGATATACTATGGATGTGAAGAATTCTGTCTGAATACTCAATTTTTCTCAGTTTCAGTGTTTTGAGACAAAAAGGAAGCTCAGTGAGGAATGTTCAGCTCCCTAAAGAATCCTCACCTCTAGAACAATGAGCCCTTTTGGGAAGCGAGATTTCTCCTATTTGAGCAAAGCATTCTGCACAGACCTAATGAACCCAAGTACTGGCCTGTACATAAACACACGCCTACAAAGTGCAAGGACACAAGTGGCTGATTGATTCAAAAGTGGAAGCAACCTCTCCATTACTACTAAGTCCATGTACCAAAGCAGTAATTGTTGTCCTTTTGGCATAGTGTTGCCATTTATGTTATTTGCTCAACAGTCACTCTTGCAAATGCCAATCAACACTGACAGAAATAGGAGAAGGAAAAATCTTCCCTGCCTAGTTCTCACATGAGAGAATGAAATATGCCACAGCTGGCACCCCCAGAATGTACTTTGAAACAGAACCGTTGGTGGGAAGGCAGAATTCTGGGATAAGGGCCGAAGAGCCTTTAAGCACACCTGGGGTTACCTCTCTATTTTATCCCCAAAGTGCAGTTCCTTTTGCTGCTTTAAAGGCTGCTTCCAACATCACACCAGGTTTTAGAATAGCACAGCACGATATCTTGAGGGAGAGGAAACAGGATCTATAAAAAGAGACCTCAAAACCCTATCTGTAGCAGAATGAAGTCACCATATAAATTTTTGAATCTCAGCCCTGGTTTATGAATTTACATGGCGCCCAGCCAAGACGCAAAGAGAAAAAAGGAAGAAAGAGACACTAATTCAGAGACAGCAAAAAGCTTGTATAGGTGCACAAAACATTATTTTTTAAATTAGCGCAATGCACTGAAATAAAATCTTCTCAAGTTCTATAAACCACAGCTTTGTGCTCTATGCTCTTCACTTTTGCAAAGTGATTTCTGAAATTCCCTTAGAGAGGTTTTGAACTACAGGGAGGTTTTAACATGGGAATATTGTCCAATGAGAGTTTTTTCCATATGCTTTTTTGAAGTATGCATCCATATATGTTTCATTTTGGATTGTCTCATTGTAGGGCTTGTATTGACTCAGCAAAGGAAGCCACAGCCTTTAATGTGCAGGACCTGATCAGGGCTGCTAATGGTGGAATATTTTTGAGGTTGCTAAGGCACAAAGTAACTGTAAGCTGGAGGCAACTTGACAGCACATAACAACAACATAACATTGTTGTTATGTGCTGTCAAGTTGCCTCCAGCTTACAGTGAGAGATCTGTAACGTAGTGGACTAAACATTCCAGCCTATGGCATAATTTGAAAACAGTGCTAAGTATAGTAGCATATTTATTTATTTATTTATTTATACATACCCCGCCTATCTGGCCCACCGGACCACTCTAGGCGGCTTCCAATATAAAATCAGATAATAAAAACATAGACAAATACATAATAATCAAACAGGAACAGCAGTAAGATAAAGAAGGAAAAGTAAGAGAGAAATCAAGAATTGGCTGGAGGGAAGGCCTGGATAAATAATAGTCGGGTATTAAAGGTGCCCAGCATGGGGGCCGTGCGAATCTCTGGAGGGAGATTGTTCCAGAGGCTAGGCGCCCGGTTTCGTGTCTTCTCCTTCCGGGCCTCTCTCGGCGTCAGGCTCCTCAGCCTCACCTCCTGACTCGTGCGGGTGATCCGGGTAGACCTTGGTGGGAGGAGGCGTTCCGCCAAATATCGAGGTCCATAGCTTTGGAATTTTACATAGAGCCCAAGTTTAATCCTTGAGGTTTACTATAAACCCAATTTAGCTCCCATTCTGTTTTGTAATGCTTTCCTCCCACCATTTCACTTCAATCGTGGATTCTTTTATTGTTCTGGCAGATTGGTGATGAAATCCTGGAGATCAATGGAGAAACAACAAAGAACATGAAGCACGCTCGAGCCATAGAACTAATTAAAAATGGTGGCCGTAAAGTTCGCCTATTTCTCAAACGAGGAGATGGCTCTGTACCAGAATATGGTGGGTCAAACTATGAAAACATTCCTTTCCTCCCTCCTGGCATCACACCGTGAATGCTATGTCTCAAGATCTGAAGTGGGGATCCTTTTTTTTCCTCCCTCTTTCTTTTTTCTCTTTTTTTCACCAGTGTCTTACCAACCTTGGCAACAAATGATTAATTGCCTCGCTTGTGCTGAATTTTCTCTACACCTTTTCATCTTTTGCTTGCTACTATGGACTTCTATATGGGGCACAGTGTACAGGCAAGATCATCTTCAAAGCAGTATTTTTGGTGATCAGAGGGGGCAAAAACATAGAGACAAAACAAAAAGGAAAAAAAAAAACCCTACTATCCTGTGTGACCAAACAAGGAATGTTTCTTTGAACTGTGCCAAACTCTTTCTCAGCGGATGAATTATTCTCTCGTCTTCTGATGCAGAAATGGGAATCCTGTACTCTTGTTCCGAAAACTACTGTAGCCTTCGTTGGGCTTTTGTCCTTGGCTTTTGTCTGTAATTGTAGGCATGAATTCCAAGATGGTGTCTGGGCTTTTATTGTCCCCTTATATTTATGTAAATACCTATAAATTTATTTTTTAAAAGTATGCAATACAAAAATATATACACTTGGACTTCTCCCCCTGCCACCTCCCTTAACCCTTTAGAATGTCTGTCCACTCACAACTGTGTAAGCTATGAACAAATGCAGATTGCCATTCTCCGTGTTTGTCATGACAGAGGAGGCCTCATCTAACTTTCATGCAAGACAAGGTCAGCCTTTAAAAGAAAAGAAAAAAAAACCAAACTCTCTTGTCCAGGAGTGTATTTGAGTTCCCTAGATACAAGTTTTGGGTGGCTTAGTATTGTATATAATATTATGTCTTATTTATTTGAGATAATTGTTCAAATGTATGCCCTAGATCTAGGGCTTTTCCCAAATATAATTGGTTTCTAACCAGTTATGAATTATAAGCACATTAATGAAGAAATGTCCTTTATACTTCCCCATATTTGAGATAATAATATATCAGTTATATTCTGTTATGGGGTGGAACAAAAATTCCAATCCGTCTCTTTTACTCCTTTCATCCTCAGCAAACAAAATGGGGAATACATGGTTTGATGCTACGGTGATGTAGGGAAAGGGGAGAGTTCCATAGTTTATGTATGGGTATATTCTCACAAATTATTTTTACAGATTGAAATTAATCATCATAAGCCACCTCTCCCCTTCTGCCATCATAGGTTGGCACCAAAATAAACTTGTCTTATGAGCACCAGTGTGGTGTAGTGGATAGAATGACAGACTGAGACCCAGGAGACTTGGGTTCAAATTGCCACTCGACCATGGAAACTCATTTCTTAAACATCTCACATACCTTGAAATCCCTATTAAGATCATCATAAGTCAGATGTGACTTGATGGCACACAACAACATGGTCCAGTACACACAGATATGTCAGTTCACCTTGTCCAGAAAAATAAGAATTTGGGTTTATAATCAAGATCCACAGTAAGCTATTTGTAAATCCCGTTGAAGGGCTCAACCACTGATTTTAGCAAGTTTCTGGGAAACTTGTGAGAATATACCTAGAGCACATCTGAAAATGGTTTCTTGGTCAGAGGCAATTTGGGAAACATATTTGAAGTACACATAGGAAGGAGCACCATAGCAACTGCTTTTGACAGCGTTTTCCCCAGAAATTTGAGAAGGAAGACTGCTTGGGACAGAGTGAGCTGGAGTTTTTTTAGTGAGTAGATGAAGATATGTCCATTGAACACATCACACTTGTTATGCCTTTTAACTCCAATCCCTAGTTTTAAAAAAGTATGAATATATTCCACATATGACTTAATCCAATTTGTCATCCCAACTACAGAAGATGTATTCAATCCCTGGGATTTACAAGTGTTGACTTACCTGTCAGCAGTTGATTCGGTGGGTCTACTGTAGTTGAGGTTACCAGTCAGAGTTAGGCTACGGACTTGTTTATCTTTATTTGTAATATTTTCATTTGCCACACAGTTGCACTGGATCTCACATTCAACATGCCCACACAGTTACACTGGAACTGACTGTCTGACTGATTGGCTCTGTACTCTGTTGAAATCCATTTATGTTTTCCCATGAATCAAAAAAAAACTCCCGTGTTTGCATTCCTGTTGTACAAACCACTCAGGTGGCTATCTTTCAGCAGGACTAAAGTTGTGTGTAATGTTCTTTCTACTCTTGTCTTTTCCTATGCTCTTTGGCTGTAAAGTATTGTATCATATGCTAAACATCGTAAATATAGCCTGTAAAAAAGAAAAGTGCTTCACATCTTCAAGAATGTCTGTTGCACTGAGGATGAAAATCCAACACAGGGCATGGGGTGGGGGCTGCTTCTTTTGTTTGTTTGTTTGTTTGTTCTCTCTCTCTCCCCCTCCCTCCCTCCCTCCCTCCCTCTCCCTCTCTCTCTTTCTCTTTTACTTTATGTTTTGGCTGCAAGTGACTTTTTAATCACATAACAAAAATCCATTTCCAAGCCAGGGGCTGCACTGGTGCTGCCATACACCTGTAACATTAGGGGGCTTTACTTCTTCAGTACTGTTCACAGCGCTCACGAACAAGTTGCTTCAAAAATAACATTAGGTTCCAATATTTTTCTGACTTGATTGGAACATGCTTCTCTGACGAGGCTGTATATTTTTGTAATGAGTTTTGTACTTATTTTTAACGTTGTGGTCTTTGGTGGGCTTCTTTTTGTTGTTGTCGATTGTTAACTGTTTTTCCTCTAACATTCTGTCTTGCTGTTCCAATTATGTCTCTTTTTTTCTCCCTCTCTCGCTCTCTCTCCTCTCCCTTTCTCCCTCCCTCCCTCAGAATGGATGCTTTAGTTGTCTGGGTTATCTAATCACCTTTTAAAAAATGTTTTATTACAAGATGTGACTTTAACAACCGCTGTCTCTGCAGCCTTATATTTGGGTGATGCCTAGACAATCCCTGATTGGAAAAAAAAAATAAACTTTTCTTTATTCTAAGATTTACAAAAAATGAAGATTTTTTTTTTTCTTTCCTCTTTGTTATAGGGAATCTAAACATTCTACTTTTCTCTTTCTCTTTCTTCTACTTTTCTTGGTGCCGGTTTCTTCCTTCCTCAGCGATGATACCTCCTAATATCGCTGCATGTATGAGAAATGACAAGCTCGGGGAGTCTTGCTTCTACCTTATGGGCCATAATCAAACTACGGTTTGTAGCTAAAATCAATACTAGGTGTTTCTGTGCTGTGGCCTAATTCTCTCCCATTGCTTTCTGCTTTGCTCTACCTCTGTATGTACGGCCATTCATTCTGAGCATCCTCCAGTTTCGTGAATTGTAAGTACTCTGTGCATCGTGGTGCCTTGCGACAGACTGAAAGATGCCAAAGTAACCTGAGCCAAGAACAAAATGTGGTCCTTCATTTTTGAAAGCCAGCTGATACAATGGAACTCCTAGTTTCCACCTAGATGTCGTCAAAGTAAAGGCCTGCACAATACAAAAAAATATATACATACAAGAGAGCTTGCGTCAGAGAAGATTATTTTAACATTCAGGGGCAAAAGGGTTGTCTTGGACTCCAAAGTACTTAGTGGCTTTAGTCATTGCCATTTTAATTTTCCTAAAACACCTTTTGGCCACTGATTAATTGATTGTAAATCCAGTAAGTTGTTTTTGTAGAAGACATCTGTCTTTTTCTTTAAAAAAAAACCCCAACCATCATATAATACCGCCAAAGCAAACTAACAGCAGTGCTTTGCATTTTTTGTAATGATCCATAATCATCCATTACAAATGATGTTTAATATTTTAAAATTCACTGTGGCACAAATTCTTTGCTTCTTCACCTTGCATCATTTATGTTTCTGTTGAAGGGTAAACATTATTTGAGAAGACCTATTCTGTACATCTAGACAACCTGCCATTGTTTTAGTAAGATTGAATCATGCCTTCCCTGACCCCACCACCTCTCATTGTGTGTGTTTAAGTTGAATCATTGTGGCAAAACCAAAATTATCCTCAGCGCATTTGCATAGCATATTAAAACTAGGATTAAGTCATATACCTCATTATTTCCAAGAATGAGAACCAAAAGTTTATGGTATAAATGTTACACCACTGAAATCAATATCTTCAAACCACTTCATTCAGTAATATTTTTTCACAGTTACATTATAGAAAGTTTTCAGTGGAAGTTAAAAGCCTTCTTCCCAAGAGGACATTTCTATCTTCTTTTTTTTGCTTGAAACATTCCTTCTTCTTTTTTAAACACTGGGAGATGGCTACTGAAAGGAGAAAGAAGATATGAAGGTGTTAATTCTAAAGGACAACATATTCTCAGTTGAATCTGAGAAAGCTAAAACTCTCTTTTTCCTGATCACGAGGAGACCAGAATCTAACCTAACATGGACATAAACGGGAGAAACACCAATACTAATGCATAGCTCTTGACCTTTGCGGTTGCTCTGAAATTAACAAAAGCTTCAGTTAGTCTCCTACTGACTGCTTTAAAATCATTTGTTTTTGTCACTAATGAAGTCTAAGGAATGAATGACTGGTGTCCAACTTTAAAAATGAAGCCTCTGGTACCAAACATTTTGTTGTTGTCTTTTTTTCAGACCCCAGCAGTGACAGGAACAGCCCAGCCACAGGTTCACAAAATGTATCGGAAGTGAAAAACATGCCATCTGACAGACGACAACACTCATCATTGGAGCCCAGTTATCCACCAGATCTTCACAAATCATCACAACATGGAGAAAAGAGGATATATTTTAAGGACCTAAAAAGCAGCAGAGAGTTTGGCAGACAATCCAATGACCACCATACATGGAACGGAACTTCTAAAAACAGCAATAGCATAACAAGCAGGAGAAAAGACCGGTCACCAGAAGGAAGGCGAGACAGACAACCAGAGAGAATGGTGGTGATCAATGGACAGAAACGGAAATCTCCTGAAAAGAGGAGGGAAGGCACTAGAAGTGCTGACAATACACTGGAGAGAAGGGAGAGGCATGAGAAGAGGAGAGACTTTTCTCCAGAGAGACGGAGAGAGAGGTCACCAACCCGTAGGAGAGAGAGCTCACCCAGCAGAAGGAGGCGGTCACTTGAAAGGCTGATAGACCAGAAGAGGTCACCAGACAGAAAGAGAGAGGGCTCACCCTCTGAAAGAAGAGCAAAATCAACTGACAGGAGAAGGGAGAGGACCCCAGAACGGAGGAGGGAGAAATCTCCTGACAAAAAGAATAGAGAGCATAGAGCTGGCTTCAGAGAGAAGGAAGAGCACACTCTGAAATATGACACTATTAAAAACAACAGGCACCTCCCTGAGCAAAAACGGCGACCCTATAAAGAGTGCAGTACTGACCTCAGTATCTAATGCTTTTTGCCAGCCCAGGATACTGTTTCGCCTTTTCCAACATGAAGAGTTCCCAAGAAGGAAAGGAGCAAACCTGGAATCTTGTTTTAGTTTTTGACATCAGATGCCTCCAGCAGCAACAATGCCGATGAAACCTGATCTGTACAAAGTCGTGCCTGGTGTATGACAGCACTAAAATATTTCCAATGTATTCATTAAACGTACTTGCCAAATGTTCATCCTGAAGGATTATGAAAGCTGTTTGCTCCCATAATCTATAGTCATAATGAGCATAAGTTTATATTTTTGTTGCTTTGCTGTTCCTTTCTTAGTTACTTGGGTGACAAGCATGCCGTCTTAAAGAGATTTGTAACCCAACCACACTGGCTTGTTCTTATTGTTGATTTGCTGCAATGATATGTAGGATTTTTCTAAAGAATAGGTTGGAGGAAAGGGGGAGTTGTTAATAAAAATAAGAATAACTGTGGAAAGATGATTCCACCCCCATCACAAATCGATAGCATATTGCTATTGGTAAGATCACTATTTGAAGAGAGTACTGTTGGAATGAAAGATATTTATGCAAATCCAAGAAATAATGGTGTAGGATGATAAGGAATTTATAGAGTGTTCCATGAACAATGTCTACTTTGGGGTCTCCTTTCAAAAGGAAGCAAGGTGGCCAAGGACTGGTAGCCATCATGTATTGTGTCCTGCACAGGATAAACCATCAAGTTTGTTTATCTTGGCAACCCTTAATAATATTTCACTAAGGCAGAACCACTGTGGTTCCTGTTCAACTGGCAGGACTATGCAGATGAAATTGATTAATATTATTTACCTCCTTTCAAGGAAAATTTATGTTAAAGTTGGTTCTGGGTCAATCTGCATTCTGAAGAACAAACAATCCTTTCATAGACTAGGTTTGAATGCCTAAAGGTGGGGCTGAACATTTTAATACTAGTATTGCCAAATGGAGCTACAGTGGTGCCCCACATGATGACGATAATTTGTTCGTGAAAATCGCTGTTTAGCGAAATCATCGTCTTGCAAAAAACATTTCCTCATTGGAACGCATTGAAACACATTTAATGCGTTCCAATGGGGAAAAATTGTCATTTTGCGAAGCCGCCGATCAGCTGTAAAATATCGCCATCTTGCGAAAAAACGGTCCATGAAGCATGGACCAAATCATTGTCAAGCGAAAATTGGCTATTGGAATCACTGTTTTGCGAATCGCTATAGCGATCGCAAAACCTCATTGTCATGCGGATTCGTAGATTCACGAAGTCATCGTCTAGCGAGGTACCACTGTATCTCTGTATGCTTCTGGGTTTTGTTTTGTTTTGCTTTTGTTTTATTTTCCTAATCACCTGCCCCTTCACCCTTACTTGAGACAAAAGACAAGCATTTGCAAGTTAAACAGGATGTATCAAGGGCAGTCAAAAGACACAGTCTCTGGGAAGCTTGGTTTCAGAGTTGTTAACACCTAGATAATGCTTTCTGCTGTACTTCCGGCTGTTAGAAGTGAGCAGTTAGGGGCATGATACAAAGTTCCAAGTTGTATTTTATAATGGCAGGTTTGTGTGGTAGGTCTGCTATAGTGCTGATATGAAATATTAATGGATTACTGCCTAGCTGAGCCAAAAAAAATTGCCGTTACTGTTGGACCACTAAAACGTTTGAAATTGCTGCTTTTTATTTTCCACTTCATTGTTGTGTACATGTATACTGTTTCACCATCTTTCATTCCTTCATTTATTCACATATGCATACACACACCTTCACAAAGAGCAAGAATTTCACGTCTATCACTGCTGTTGCCATGGTACTGTAAAGAGAAAGGAAAAAAAAAGAGATGGCCAATCATTGTGTGTACAGACTTTAAAATGTAATTAACAGAGCCTGTTGAAAACAAAAATACTGTTGCCTTTTTTCTTGTATAAAAGAGACTTTATGAAAAAATAATTAGCTGTGAGGAATGTGCTAAGTGTTTATATTTCTGAAGAAAATAGAACAAATTGATTCATGGGAATATATTTTAATGTAAACTTAATCAGGTATGTAAAGCTGTTTTAAACAGGAGACTATATAAGTTGGATTGAATCTCATAGCTTTCCTCATGGTGGGGGCCTGCCTGTTGGACTCTTAGGCACCTGTGCGCAATCGGTGTGCTTCGGTCATCCTTCCTTGCAGTGTGCTATAGTCATAATGCTCTTTTCTGTGTCAATGAAAAGCAGTATGTGGGCCAACCTTTTTTTATAAAACACTATGCATATATAAATACTACATTGTTCATAGCTTTATTTGACTTATTTGGGTTTATACATGACATTAGTCTAAGTAGATGTGGACTTTACCCAGTATAAGATTCTTTCCTTGGGACAAAACACTATGTATATGATGTAGCTACTAAGAAGGAAAGAGTCTGTGAATGCTATTTTTATTATCAAATAAAGATTTCCATACAAAGCATATACATGACTGTAGTGGTAAGATTAAGGAAGCACTGCCGCACAATGGGTCCGACTTTATCCTGCTTGTTTTAAAGTGTACATGACAAAAAAAAAGTGACACAAGCCTCCCTTAGGGGGCGCACAGGTTTTAAATCAGGTCTATGAACCTCCTGTTGACTAGGGATGTGTGTTTCTTGCTTGAGTTAGAAGACTACTTATGCCCATCCATGTCAGTGTGACATCTGTGATTGTCTTGCATAGCTCCATTGTCCTGTTGCTTGGATGACCATGACTGAACAAGAAGTGAATGGTTGGCATGCAAAAGACACCGGGTTCAATCCCTGGTATTTCCATGATAGGTTAGGACAAGCTCCATCGCTGAGCCGTGAGGAGATAATAACTGGACCAAGCTTATCTGACTTTGCAACACAGTTTTCTGTATGTCCTCTTGTAGATATTTTCCTTGCTTGAAAAATGTTTTCATATGTATCCATACACTTTGGGATATCCTTTCTGGATAATCAGTAGAGCAATGCATTTATTGATCTTCAGCCCAAAAGACATACAGTGAAGTTCTGTCGCTGCCTCTGAGACCACAGATGGAAAGAAAAGGAACATACGTATGTGTTTTCTGCTTCTTGGAGCATACCAGGGCAGAATATATTGTTAATGGCTGTGTATAGGTAGCCAATTTACAATTATTCATCAGTTGCATTATGAATCTGCAAGGTAACTTGAGAAAAATGTTTTTTTAGTCACATCAGAATGCTGCTGGATGTTAATGGGTGAGGGGATCAGATTGTTGTATTTCACATGGAGAAGAAGAATTAGTTCAGCCCCATATGTGACTGGCACACTTTGGTCATGCAGCCAACATGCTGTGCATCCATTTTTTCCTGTAAAAGCAAAAAGTGCGCTGCTTCTATACTGTCCCACAGTGGTTAAAACACTGTAGGCAGTTTACAATTTAATTATGCAGGCTAAACATTCCCCCCTCCCCCAAAGCAAGCTGGGTACTCAGTTTACTGACTTTGGAATGAACCTCAAGGCGACTACCTGAGATTAAACCCAGGTTATGAGCAGAGTTTTGGCTGCAGTACTGCAGTTTAACCACTGTCCCACAAGGCTCTCTGTAATAACGTCTGTTTTCCATAGCTCATACTTTTATAGCTCCCTAGTTTAAAGAGTGGTTTTTGTTAAAAAAATTCAGCTGCTATTAATAAAAATAATTATGTTGCCATCCAGTCGGCAACCTTCCTAGGTTTTTCTTCATGGTCTCTGTGAATGCACATGAATGGGTTAAACTGTGCCTGGGGAGGACTCTTCGAAATATTCTGGAGCTTAAATAATGACCAATTCAACGTCTCCCCATGTCGCACATGCTCCGCCCGCGTGCGGTACCTCAGTTCCTTTTTGCCGCCGCTGGGCCGGCTATGGTACCTCAGTTCCTTTTTGCAGCCGCTGCAATTGGACTGCTTCGAATTGCTTAGAGCTAATTCTTCTTTAAAAATTTCTGGTTTGACCTCAGACTGTTTCTGACTAGGATTTTCATCTGGCTTATTGACTTGGACTGAATTGACTTCAATTTCGCTTTGATCCTGATTTTGCTTCCGTGATTATTCGGCTTGAGCCTTGGACTGATTAATGTTCTGATTTGGATTACGGATTGGATTTGTACTTGATTCCTCTTATCTGCTTGATTTCTCGGCTTGAATCAGGACTGTTATCTAATGCAGTGGTTCTTAACCTTGGGTTACTCAGGTGTTTTTGGACTGCAACTCCCAGAAGCCTTCACCACCAGCTGTGCTGGCTGGGGTTTTTGGGAGTTGCAGTTCAAAAACACCTGAGTAACCCAAGGTTAAGAACCACTGATCTAATTTCTCCCATGAGTTTTTTCCCTTCATTGAGATCATCCTTTTGGTTCCCACCAAATTTTATGGCCTCTACAGGCCCATTCAAATGTTGCACGCCATGTGCTAACAAAATCCTGTTCACAGACAGCCATGACCACTGCCTGTTTTGTTTGGGGAAAGACATCAGCCCAATTCTTGTCAGGAGTGCAAGAAACTGACCAAGCCCACTTTAAAGCTTCGTTTACAATGACTCAGTTCCTATCTCTGGGAAAAGTTATTAACACCTTCAGGCTCGACAGAGATGGAACCTGCTGTTCCTACTGCTCCCCCTACTCCTCAGCCCGATCCTGCTGCTTCACCAGCACCGGCTGCTCCTTCTTCCAAGGCGTCCTCTAAATTGTCCAAGTCAAAGAAATCTTCGACACCAGGGTCGACATCAGTACTGAAGGCATCATTTACTAAAGACCCGAAGGAGGAGGAGGTGTCTAAGCATAAAAAATCCATATAAGTCTGTTCAACTGAGGGAGCCTTCTCCAGTTAGAATCACATTGCCCTCACCCATACTAGAGGAGTCTTCCAGGGAACTGTGCAATCTCAAATTGCTTTCAGAGGGAGATGGCCTTCCGCCATAGCCACAGGTGTCAAGATCAAGCCCAAGCCTGTCTCCAAGTCACAACCGTTCAGAGGCTGAGATGATCTCCAGCCCAGCCTCGGCCTGGGCTGTCTGTTTCTATCGGGCTTATGTCTATCGGGTGGGTGACAATGGGTCAGGTATCAGATTCGGAGGTGTCACTACGACGATCCCCTCCACGGAAACAGCTTATGAAGCATTGGAATGTTTCTCCAGACCGACACCCTTCTTGACATCGGGATGTTATAGTACTCCCACGTCCTTCTCGGCATCAAGCTGCTGCCAAGTATGAGGAACCACCGTATATAGAAACAGAGTGGCATGGAGTTCAACATAGATACCAGGGTTATGACATCGATCCCGTATATTGTGTCCCATATACAGTGCAGTCTTGACTTAAGAACGGCTCGAGTTAAGAACATTTTGACTTAAGAACCACTCTCATAGGAAAATATTGACTTGACTTACATACTTAGATTTGAGTTCTATGTAGAAACAGAGTGGCATGGAGTTCAACGTAGATACCAGGGTTATGACATTGATCCCGTATACAGTGTCCCGTATACGACGCCGGGGGTTATGTTAGATCGAAGAGGGTACGTTACATCTATGCCTCTTTGGGGTCGTCCGCGTCTTCTTCACTATCTCTGCGTTGGCATCGAGCTTATCTCCAGGTCAAACTGATGGCCACAAAGCCTGTTTCTAAGCACTACTTTCAACAAGAGCAGCATTCAATCCTTCCAGAGAAGCGTTCTCAAGCACTATCGGTACCATTACCATTGGTATGGCACTCCAGACGTAGAATTGTCGGCACCGGTTCTGAGAGTTCCAACCTCCGCACGAGAACACACAGACGCTCACCCTCACCCCCTCTATCTCTTGATAGAGATTTCAGAGGCTCATCGGTGTCATCAGTGTCTGAACAGGATCAACAGAGGCATCTAGAGAATCTCCTTCTAACTTGCCCACACCAGACTCGGACGTTGCTGATATACACCCAAATGGTTTTCAATGCATTCCTATGGGAAATGCAGATTTGACCTGAGAACTTTTTGATTTGAGAACCGCCTTCCAATACGGATTAAGTTCTCAAGTCAAGGCCCCAC